AAAGACTATCCATATAAATTGTGTCGGTGAAGTGCAACCCAAATGGACCATGCCGGGTCGGGTCAAGTACACACTAAATATAGTTATAGACTTAGACATTAATCCAACATGAACTGCCTCTCGAAGGGTTTACGGCCTTTGAAGTTTTGAAGTGTGTACGGTCGTGAACTGGTTTACAGCCAATGAAGATTTGCAAATTTGAAGGGTGCACGGTCGTACACTCAAGAACAAGGATGATGAATTCGATGAAAAACATGTTCTAGATGCTCCAAATCAACTCCTAATGACGATTCTCGGTGATTTTCAAGGATAAGGGTGTTTTTGGGGTTTACGATCAAGAGATAGAGAGAGAAGGAGAGAGTTTTCGGGCAGAAAAGTGTAAATGAGGGGTAGGGGCTCGTATTTATAGGGGGTTTGCATGGTCGGCGGTGGGGTCCACCCGACGTTGGCCGTAAACGAGTGTACGGCCGTACACAAGCTTACGGCCGTAAACTCACTTAGGCCGAAAACTGTTTGTTTTTTTTCAAGAAAACTCGGGTTTTTCGCGCGATTTTGGTCCCGACTCGTATAAAAATTTAATTATATAAAACTAGATGATTTTCTAAACCAAGAAGTTTGACGGGAACTTAATAAAAATTCAAATTTTATTAATGGAAATCGATTAATGGAAACGGAAAAAGGTTCGGGCTGTCACAGCTTGCAAGGCCCATGTTATGTTATTATGTTATTATGTGTATGGTATGTGGTAGTTTGGGGAGAGTTACTAAGCTTTCTGCTTATAATTTTCAGTTTTGGTTTCATTCCGGTAGCAAATGGAAGAGCTCGGGATGACCAGTGCATATACCATGATTTTAGCCTTGGATGTTTTTACTCTGATATGTTTGACAAATGTTTATGATGTTTTGAGAAACAATGACTTATGATTTTCATGTGATGTTTGATAACTATGGTTTTATTAATAATTGAAAACGAAATTTTTGGACCGTATTTTTGGGATGTTTCAGATTCATTCAGGTCATTCAGCAGCTTGAGGTGAGTTTCCTCACTGTGTTTAGCGGGTCGAATGCACCAATGTTGGCCCATGGGTTGTATGCTTAGTATGCTAGTTGTCTGCGTGACTCTTTCATGTGATATGTGTTTATATGTTACCGGGCAAGGCCCGATGCCGGGCGGGGCCCGGTAACCATTATGTATGCTATTTATCTTTGTGATTATTGCATGTGTATTGTTATTATGTTTATATGCTTATATGTGTACCCGGTGGGGCCCGATGACGGGCAAGGCGCACTATATGTTTGATATGTATGGTATGTGGTATTTTGGGGAACTCACTAAGTTTTGTACTTATGGTTTTCAGTTTATGCTTCAGGTACTTCTGGTTCGAAAGGGAGGAGCACGGGATGATTGCAGAGCACACACCACATTGGATTTTATGATGATGTTTTGGGATTTTACCGTTTTACTAATTTAAAAATAAAATGTTTGGTTTTGTTTATGAGACGTTACAACCATTGTCCGACATAATCAACCAATATTAAGTTGGCATGTAAAACATGATCCAAATAAATTCAACAAGCAATTTAAGATGTTTAAATCTCAAAAATTATTACGTATAATATTGGGTGCGCTAATAACTCGTTTTATAAATTTGATCGAATTTAAGGTCAATTATCTTAACTATATTCGAGATAAACAATTATCTCTTGAAATCCAAAATTTCCATCTCACATCATCAATGTTTTGTGATGCATTGATGAAATTCATTTAGAAATTCATTTCATAAATGCATATTTGTTGTGCCTCTCTACTTCCTAGTTTAAATGAGACTGATTAAAACCAATAAAGATGCCATATACATAGGCAAATTATCTTGAGTCGGTGGATTTTGAATTAACTAAATGAAAAAACCATTATTAGTTCTCGTTTCATTAGTTCAACGAACAAAACTCATGTTTAGATTCGTTCATTTATTAAATAAACGAAAATAAATATTTTTTTTTCAAACAATTCAAAACACTTAGATATACGTTCTGTTTGATTACCATTATATATTAGTCCATAACTCTAAATTTAACAATGAAAATGTTAAATGATATATTAATCAAAATTTTATTAGATAATACAAATTACTTTATTATAATATAATATCAATTAAATAAAAATGGTTGGAAAATACATAGTTATTAAACTTATAATAAATAAAATTAGAGAAAATATCCTAGGAAGGTAATGAACTGTTAATTTTGTTTATATTTTGTCCTTTTTTTTGTACACCATATATCCAATTTGTTAAACTTATTCACATATTATCCTTGCGACCAGCTCCGGTAGGTAAAAATATAATTAATATATGAACAGTTTCAAAAAGTTTGATGATATAATATACATAAAGAAAATGACTAAATGTGAATTAAAAAGAGCCTCCCCACCACCTCCAACACCACAACCACCAACGTCACTGCCACATCTGTCATCTCTACCTCCGTAATTGCCACTTTTACTGCCACGACCTCCACTACCAACACCTCCACCTCCACTTTCACCACTGTCACTACCTCCACATTCGTCACCACCACCTCCACCTCCACACATCACGGTGGTGGTGATGGTGATGGTCAACGGAGATGGAGGTGGTGGTGGTAGTGGTGGCGAAGGCGAAGCTGGTGGTGTAGGTGGTAGTGGTAATGGAGGTGGATGGGGCTGGTGAAGGCGAATGCGGTGGTGAAAGTGGTGACGGAAGTGGTGGGGGAGATTTTTTTTGTTCACATTTAGTCATCTTCATTTTGTACAATATATATCCTCAAACTTGTTAAGACAGTTCATATATTACTCTTTTTATTAAGTAGCAGGTCGCAAGGGTAATATGTGAATAGGTTCAACATGTTGGATAATATATAGTATACAATAAAAAAAAGAAACTAGATTAAATGTGAACAAAATCAATTGTTAATTACCTTCAGGGTCATTTTTCCATAAAATTAATATATTAATGGTAAGGTTTAATAATAAAAAATAAAATCTTTGATAAAGTCTCAATAATTTTTGTCAATTTAGGTTTAATCTTAATTTTTATGTTTAAAACAAAAAGTCATAAATATTTTAAATTTTGCACAAATTAACAAAAGAGACCTTATTTTTTTTTAATAGAAAATGATCGATTATTATATAAATTAAGATAATCGAGATTTTCCTATTAAAAAAATTAATTTTATAATTAAACCATAAACTAACCTAAAACATTAGGACTTTATATAAGATTACCGTAATAACATTGTAAAATATGAAAGTTTAAATTAAAATTTTGATATAACGTAGACGCTTAGGCTAGACGATGTGGAGTTCGGATACCTCGGCAAACACCGCGTCGTGCCTCTCAACATGGAAAAAATTGCAACTCTTTCGGCAATAAGTTACCGAGCTTTCTCCCCTATTTCCTTCATTTAACTTTTTGACCAACCAATCATAATGCCTTTATTATTTTTATTTTTTTTTTCAATTTTTTTTAACATGGCATAAATGTCACGCCAAGTAAATGCAAAATTTTAAAGCAGTGTGGCAAATCATAGATGACGCCTACGTGGACCGTAGCAAACTTATCACCACTCCCTCTCCAAGCTTATATGTAAATAATTCATCAATTGTGATTTGAATGAGTTGAAAGATTTGATATTTGTGCAACCATTCTCTTCGCACGTTTTTGACTCTTGCATTTAAAATCCCCCGTATGCCAAAGCATACCCCCTTCAAAACAACCATGGCAGATCCTCCTACTCATTTCTTTAAGTTCATCCCTCCAAACTTCAAATGTGACCTCGTAAGCATTTTTATCCGTCATTCACTTGTAGGCTCTATATATTGCTTATACATACCTTTCTTCTCAGGTGGACAATAAGTTGTATATATGTATTTGCAATCGATTCCAACTTCTTTTTTGAACTGTGGTAGGTGCTTCAAAGCGACACTGAGACAAGGATGTCAAGAATGGTCAGTGGAATTTGATGACGGGGTGTTTGGTGATGGTTGGAGTAGGTTTGTGAGAGAGAATGGAATGCAAGAGTTTGATTTTATTGTGTTCAATCATCAAGGAAGCATGGTGTTTGACTTTTTAGTTTTTGACCAATCTACATGTGAAAGACAATGCCCGAAGTTACTAGACGAAATGGACGTAGAAGAGCCTCTCTCAGAATCTGATACGATCCGTACACATAGTAAGCTTTCTAGCATTGCACGCTACATTGCATTAGTTGTACAATAGATTTCGACAATTCTTTAATGGATTGTGGGTTTAATTTATTATCTCTGTCTGGTAACATTTCGAATTTGCCTTCCATCTATTCTATAAAATGTTAACCAGAAGGGCTGAAGAAACTGAAAAAGCGAAAGGGGAACGATTATACATTTCAACACCATGAAAAAGATCAAGTAAAAAAGGAGAGTGGTTCGATAAGGAAGAAGAAAAGTAGTTTGACTCTTATCAATCATCCATACTTTATTTCAAATCTGATGCCTTCTAACTTCAAAAACTCGGTTCTGGTAACTTGTAGAACCCTTGTAATTAAATGTTATGGTAAATCAAAATAACTTCTACATTTTCGTTCTAATTATTTACAAACTATATTTTTTATCTTATTTCAGCATCTTCCTATTCTCTTTTCGACACCAAATGGTCTAAAAAAATGGACAAATGATTATTAGAGATGACAAAGGTCGATTATGGGAAGTTCGGTTAAACAAAAAAGACGAGAAATTTTTATATATTGGACGTGGTATTAAACCTTTTACGGTTGCGAATGGTTTAAAGGAAGGTGATGCATTCAAGTTTGAGCTCGTTGAGAAAGAGAAGGACAAGCCTCCCATCGCTAACTTTTCTTGTATTCATGGTATTTTAATTATTTATCTTCAACTTAGTTTATCATTTCTTCGAATCGATCTGTGTTAATTTATATATGTTAAGAATTTACTGATTTTGCGGTTTGATTCCTTCCGAAGAAGATGGATGCCGGTACTTCATGGGCCAACTGAAGTTATACAGCATACAACGATCAGAGCTGGTAAGATATTTTGTAAAGTGTAAACTTTATATGAAAGAAGCTCATCTCGATAGGATTTATGTTCAAAAAGTATTGAAATCCCTTGCAAAAAGACCTTATTGGAGGGGATAGTTTAGGAAATTTTTTACTAAGAATTGTGGTTATTGTATTTGTAGTATCTGCCACAAGGATTTGCAAGGTCTTGTGGGTTAATCGATAAGAAAAAGATATATCTCAGAAACGTAGAAGACGAAATGTTATGGAAGGTGGAGTTAAGGCACTCTAAGAGTCGGTATTTTATAGGACGAGGCTGGAAAGATTTCTGTGTTGCAAATGGATTGAAGGAAGGAGATTGTTTCAAATTCGAGGTCGTTGACAAGGGGGAAAAGCCCATAGTAAATTTTTACTTACAAAAAAATTAGTTAAAGCTAGCTAGGATTCCCTATTTTTATTCTTATAGATTGCTTAAAGCCTTTGCTCTACCAATTATGTGCCTACAATGTTGCAATTCGAGAATATTTTTACTAATGAATTGTGGTCAAAAGAATTCTTAGGCCTTAAATCTCCTGCTTTGATTAAGAGGATGTGGTAGAGGATAATAATACACAAATATAAGTTCACGGAAAATAAATGTTTATACTTTATAAGATCAGAGCACACGAAATATATCCATATGGCATATGTATGAGCAAATTGAAAATAATAAGAAGCTAACTTGGTTTCCAAATAATAAATACTATTTGACACACATAAAACAATGAAGTGTGTTTAAAATCAATAATTAATAAAATATATCTAATAATCAAATAAGAGTAATTTGATAATATTAAAAACTAGGTGTAAAACCTGTATATTATACATAATATACAGGTTGATTAAATATTAAAATTTTAATAATAACTATTTTTTAAATAAAATTTTATTAAAAGGAATAAATAAACATATTAATTACAATTTACTATCATATTTATTACATTTAATACTTTACATATATAAGTAAAAGTATTATGTGGTTTTTCAATTTTAAAAATTGAAAAAACTCATAAATTGACATGTAGATATTATTTATTTAAAAAATATCATAAAGTGACAAATGTCAAAATTGATAAGAGAATGACAAGTGACAAAATTATTTTTATTTATTATGGATGATAGATGATAGATATGACAAGAATCAATTTTGAAGACTAGGTAGTCACACCCAACAAAAACATAGTGTATGCAATTTTTTTCAATCGAGTAAGATAAACATTTATAGGTAGCATTTTTTTTTAAATGGACTAGCAAAGCGAATAAGATCACATAGGGAATGAATGGGGAAAAACATCAAGTGTTTCAGTCTAGACTTTGGCGCGTTTGGTATGGAGTTTATGAGAGTTTTTGGAAGCTTTTAACTTTTTTTTTAAAAAAACTTCGTTTGGCAGCAAAAGTTTTTAACTTTTATTTTAAACAAAAAACTTTGAATCTAAAAGCTAGTTTAAATAATATTTGAGAGCTTTTAGTTTTTCAGAGCTTTTAGCTGTTAGTTTTTAACTAATTTTACATATTTAAATGCTAATAACTATTTTTGTGAAACACGTCTTGCATAAATAAAAGCTACAACTTTCAACTATCAATTAATTATGCCTATTGTTAAACTAAATAAAACAATTTGCCTTAGTTTCTTCAAAAAGCACATTTGGTGAAGATGACTTTATGTTGAAGCTTTTATTATTCCGTGTTTCCAAAGTATCCAACATGTCATAAGGAAGATCATTAGGAGAAGTTTTTTATTCCTTCATTGGTTTCTGGGATAACATTGACTCATTGAGTATGAGAGGATGGAATTAATAGTTTTGGGGTAAAATTGTCCTAACGACACCAAGTAGTGATAAGGTTCCAAAGTGAAGCAGCAAAAGTGTATGTTATTAGCAGACGATCCGCTATTTCTTATGTGGCCCAATATAAATGGAAGTTGGTGTTTTGTATCTCGATGACCCTTCTCGCTTATGAAACAAGTGTCAATGTTGTATAAATCTCGATCCCAGTTCTTCAAGCAAAACAATTGATTTTTTATGGGGCCTACTTGTGCCATGCAATATCTTTGCTCAATCGTTGTTCTTAGGGAGTTAATAGTGAAGCATCATGAATCATCGACATGACCATTAATCTGGTTTATCAAAAAAAATGGTTAATCATATTTGTACAAACTTGAAACTGACCCAATTTCGCTTATGTTTTGAATTGTTGGTGATTGATATTGGTGATGATAGTGAAAGGAGTTGGTGATGGTGGTGATTGGTGGTGGTGTTATTGGTAGGGTTGATGGTGATTGATGACAATACCGATTGTGATTAGTGGTGGGGCTGATGGTAATTGATGATAATATTGATGGTGATTAGTGTTGGTGATGACGATGATTAGTGTTGGTGATAGTGGTGATTGGTAGTGATAGTGATGATGTGGATGATGATTGATGACAACGGTGATGGTAATTGGTATTAGTGATCGTGGTGATTAGTGATGGTGATGGTGGTGAGGCTTATGGTGATTGATGATGGTAGTGATGGTGATTAGTGGTGGCCCTGGTAGGGTTAATGGTGATTGTGATTGGTGGTGAAAAGTGAAAGAGGTGGTGGAATAATAAATAAAAAAGAACGTTACCGTTTTGGTCCCTATGGGGTAGGGGTGGGATAAAGGAAAAATTCTCATATTTCAAAAAGTAACAACCAATGCGTTCGTTTTTAACCACTCGGGGACCTCTGGGGCAAGATTTGGAAACCACAAAGACCAATCATATTAAAAACTAAAAAATTGGACTAAAAGTGAAGATTGGGCAAAACTGAAGGACCAAAACTTTAACTTACTCAACATCTTATTTATTATGTGCATTAATTTGGTATACAGCTTCTTTAATTGCAAGGCAAATGCGATCGAGGGTATGTCACACCAAATCTCCTGCAAAACCGCCATGGCAGATCCTCCTACTCATTTCTTCAAGTTCATCCCTCCAGGCTTCAAATTTAACCTTGTAAGCATTTTTATGCATCATTCACTTGTACGATTTCCATTTACAAACTATCAATGGAACCAATGCGCATAATTTAGCCTACGGTATATTCTTTATACGTACCCGTTCTTTTCACCTACACATTAAGTTGTATATGCATTTGCAGTCGATTCCAAGTTATTTCTTGAGGAACCTGAACCGTGGGAGATGCTTCAAAGTGACACTGAGACGTGGGCGTCACGAATGGTCAGTGAACATTGACGACGGGATATTTGGTGATGGTTGGAGGAGATTTATGAGAGAAAATGGAGTCCAAGAGTTTGACTTTATTGTGTTCAAACATCAAGGAAGCATGGTGTTTGACTTTTTGGTGTTTGACCAATCTACATGTGAAAAACAATACCCAAATCTATTTGACGAAATGGATGTAGAAGAGCATCTCACAGAATCTAATACGATCTGCACACATAGTAAGCTCATTGAAGGTTTTATCAATTTTGTTTTATACTTGGCATATCAAATGGTGAATATTTTGAGTTTGAGTTTCAATTTTGTATGAAATATTGTCTGAAAGGGCCGAAGAACCTCAAAAAGCGCAAGACGAACGATTATGCATATTCTCAAGACCAAGAAAATTTTCAAGTAAAGAAGGAGACTTATTCAAGAATAAAGAAAGCAACTAGTTCCACTCTTAACAATCACCCATACTTTATTTCAACTCTGAAGCCTTGTAGCTTCAAAAAATCAGCCCTGGTGACTTTCTCTTTTAGAACCCTTAAATCTTATGGCAAAACGACTTAA